AAGTTTATAATTTTAGCCTCAAAATGAAATCTACATGAGACTCATATCTCCGTATTGATTACTCATAGCCCATAGCCCTTTAATTCCCTAACACACACAACGCTCTTAGGACTTTTTCTTGTGCACAATGTTAATTCTTGATTCATTCTTTATTTGTGCTTCCATATGACATTTTAGGTGTCTTTCCATTTTCAGCGTCCGTCACAGCAGCCCGTGAACCCCTAGACTACAGGATCGTGTCCCTTTAACTTGTGTGGTAAAGTACCTTGTGCTGAGCCATATGCACACTGTACTGCATAAAAGCCTTTTAATGACAAATTAGATTTTTATTTCGGTTCATTATGCCTGGGTTTTCAGGCAATGTTCTGGATTTCATGGTTTTGTTTGTAATGAGTCATGGCCCCCTTGACAAACAAGAGAGTAATTAAACTAACCAGGTTATCAATAGAAGCTTGTGATGGATCTCCTGTTGCGTATGGTTATTTCATCTTTAATAATACTTGGATGTCATAAAAGATTATGGTTTCTTAGGGAGTGAGAGATGAAAGCCTGTGAGAACAAGGGTGAAAATACAATCATACCTAAACCTCTCACAAGCAAAACAGTGTTATAATAATTGACAAATAAGTGGGTTTTTATTCATCGATGTCTTTTTCATATTTTATTGCCTTTTATGGGGGGCACATGACTCTTTCGTTAACAAAGAAAGTTAAAATTTCTTTCTTATAAAATCATTATAGAATGATTTCTTATATTGTATGAGAGAGCATGTTTGTATTTGTGTGTGTGTATATATATGTAGTGTATACGTAAATATATAATACACGTATATATAAATGTGTGTATATGTATTACCTCATAACATTTTGCTATTCAAACTTTTTTGGTAAACATTTTTCATTATTTTCCACCAAGTTATCAGCAGGCACTTTAATATAAATATTTCTTTCCAAGTTGTTTCCAGAACTATTAATTGAACCTTTATTATTAAGAATAAAAATACCACAGAGAAATAGACATGTTATAATTTCAAAGTGAAGTATCACCCTTAACAGAAAATGATGAATTTGCTAGGATATTTTTTAAAGGAAAGGCAATGTTCTGTTGTAAGAGTGTTTACAGTTTTCATATTCACTGCATATTGAAAAATCTGTACTTTTTTATTGCTTTTTAAAGAAATCTAAAATATATCCAAAGTGCACACTTACTCGGGTCATTTGTGTGAGTGAATTAGTATTTGCATCTTCAAGGTTCCTGTTGTATTGAACGCTTTCCCATAGTGTTATTTAAAATATGGACTATGTTAAAAAGACTAATAGAAAATAAAATATTTATGAAAAGAAACATGCATATAAACTCCTAGAAGATAATATAGGAGAAAATCTAGATGACCTCGGGATTGGTGATGACCTTTTTAGATACAACACCAAAAGGCACTATCCATGGAAGAATTAATTGATAAGCTGGACTTCATTAAAAATAGAAATTTTAGCTCTGTGAAACACCCTATCAAGAGAATGAAAAGATAAGCCACAGACTGGGAGAAAATATTTGCAAAAAGCACATCTGATAAAGGACTGTTATCCAAAATATACAAAGAACTCTTAAAACTCAACAATAAGAATATAAACAACCCAATTAAAAAATGAGCCAAAGACATTAACAGATACCTCGAGAAAGAAGATATACAGATGGCAAATAAGCATATGAAGAGATGCTCCACATCCCATGTCATCAGTGAAATGCATATTAAAACAATGAGATACCACTACACACCTGTTAGAATGACCAAAGTCTGGAACACGGACAGCTCCAAATGCTGGTGAGGATGTAGAGCAATAGGAACTCTCTTCCATTGCTGGTGGGAATGCAGAATGGTACAACCACTTTGGAAGACAGTTGCGAGATTTCTTGCAAAACTAAACAGACTCTTACCATTTGATCCAGCAATTACTCTCCTCGAGATTTACCCAAAGGAGTTGAAACTTATGTCCATATAAAAACCTGCCCATGGATGTTTACAGCAGCTTTATTTATGATTGCCAATACTTGGAAGCAACCAAGAAGTTCTTCAGTAGGTGAATGAATAAATAAACAATGGTCCATCCAGACAATGGAATATTATTCAGTGCTAAAAAGAAATGAGCTATCAAGTCCTAAAAAGACATGGAGGAATGTTAAATGTATATTACTAATTGAAAGAAGCCAGTCTTAAAAGGCTACATACTGTATGATTCCAACTATATGACATTCTAGAAAAGGCAAAACTATGGAGACAATAAAAAGATCAGTAGTTTCCAGGGGTGGAGGTGTGGTAGCGACAAACAGAGCACAGGGAATTTTTAGGGCAGTGAAAATACTTTGTGTGACACTATAATGATGAATATATGTCCTTATGCTTTTGTTCAAACCCATAGAATATACAATACCAAAAGTGAACTCTAATGTATACTATGGATTTTAGGTTATAATGATGTACCACTGTAGGTTCACCAATTGTAACAAATGTACCACTCTGGTAGAGGATGTTGATCATGGAGAGGCTCTGCATGTGTTGGGGCAAGGAGTGTGTGGGAAATCTCTGTCTCTTCACTCAATTTTGTGTGGACTTAAAACTAATCTAGAAAATAAAGCCTATTAAAACAAATGTCACATGCCTACAACTCCTCATTTCCCTCCAAAACTCATCTACTTATGGTCTTCCTCATCTCAGTCAATGGCTTCCAGTTAAGCCAAATGAAGTCACCTTGGACTTCTCTCTCTTTTTTTAATATCTGTCAAGAAATCCTATTGGCTCCAACTTCACAACAGACCCCAAAGCCAGCACTTTGTGCTGCCTCCAGTGCTGCCGTCCTCGTCTGAGCTACCGGCATCACGTGCCTTGCGTACGGCGACAGCTCCCTACTAGCCCTCAGCTTTTGTCTTGCCTCACCACGGTCCTTTCTCAACACAGCAGCCAGAGTGATAGCTTTAAAACAAGAGTCAGATTATATGCCTCCTCCACAGTGGTTCTCCATTTCACTCAGAGTGAAAGCCAAAGCCTGAAAGTGGTCCTCAGTGTCCCCTCTGATCGTCCATCCTTTGGCTCTATGTATTAGTCAGGGTTCTCCAGAGAAATGGAACCAATAATATATGTATGTGTGTATATCTGTATATGGATTTACCTACATAACACACACATTTATCTACATATATATATAAAGAGATTATATTATGGAGAATTGGCTCATGTGAGTATGTAGGCTGAGAAGTCCCACAAATGTGCTATCTGCAAGCTGGAGACTCAGGAAAGCCAGTGTTGTAGTTCAGTCTGAGTCTGAAGGCCTGAGAACTAGGGAAGCCAGTGGTGTAAATCTCAGTCTGAGGGCATCAGTCAGGCAGAGAAGGGGCGAATTCTCCCTTCCTCTGCCTTTTGTTCTATTCAGGCCAATGGAGCATATGATGCACACCACACTGGAGAGGACAGCATGCTTTCCTGAGTCCACTGATTCAAATGCGAATTTCATACAGAAACACCCTCACAGCCACACCCAGAAATAATGTTTAGCAAATCTCTGGACACTCTGTGACCCAGTCAAGTTGACGTAAAATTAACCATTGCGCTTCATCTCCCACTACTCTCCCTTCTTTCTCTTTGCTTCAGCCACACTGATCTCCTTGGTGTTTCTCAAACAAACTCGGCTTGCTTCAGCCTCAGGGCCTTACTGCAAGCTATTTCCTCTTTCTGGAAGGCTCTTTCCCCAGATTCCACATAGCAAACTCACTCATCTACATCTAGTCTTTGCTTCAGTCTTACCTTCTCAAGGACTCCTACTCAGATTACCCTACACGAAATTGCAATGCATTCCTTCCTCTAACTCCTCTTACCTTGCTCTGTTCTTTTTACCATATTTCTTATCACCTTCTAACATTTTATTTAAATTATTTATTTTATTTACCGCTTATAGTCTTTCCCCCCATCCCTCACCCCATCTAGAATGTAAGCTTCATCATGTCAGGGAGTGGAACTGCTTTGTGCCTTGAGAAGTGCCTGGCCTGTATTAATGGCTCAGTAACTATTTGCTCAATAAAGGAATGGCTGTGCTACAGAGGAGCTTTTCAAGCATCATGTTGTGCCAGGCACTGTGCCTTGATCTCTGAATATGCAAAGATGGATCAGATATTTACCCTGCCTTCAGGCAGCTGACAAGGAAGCCTGGCACACCCACAAATAATTACAATACAAGATAGAAAGAGTATGATATGAGAGATTTAAATAAACTGCTCAGAGAAGGGAAAGCTATTTCCAGTCAGAACAACAGGGAAGAGTGTGCAGATGGTTACACCTACATTGGGCCTTGAACCTGTGGAAATGGGGAAGACTAGCATTCCAGGTAGAAGAAACCACATAAATTAAATCCCTAAAGTGCTAAAGCGTTGGGAGTAGGCAGAGAAAGACACAGAGTACTGAAACAGCTAAGGCTTTGAGTCAAGACACCTGACATCATAGCCAAATTCTGCAGCTAAGTGGCTGTGTGACCTTAGACAAATTATTTAACCTCTCTGATCTTCAGTTTTCACATTTGTAAGCTTGGGATAATACTGTCTAGCTTAGAGTATTACTGTGAGAAATCATGGATATAAAGCCCCTAGCCCAGTAACTGGCTCTCAATAAACGAGATCACTCAATAAACAAGAGCTATTGTTGAAGTATATTTTGACTGCAGTACAGATGAAGCGTTCCCCTCAACACTGCCAGTTTTCCAATAGGAAGCAAGGCTGAAATGTACTACATTTACTCTGCACTCCCTGGGAACATTCATCTATTGTCCAACTTGAAAAATGAAGCAGAATATGACTAGTCTTGTATAAGAAGCATAAAACACTGAAAACGTGATGCATTGGCCTATCAGGCATAAGATTGCATTGAATATAGAAAGAATAAAAATATATGTGTGTTATATTTCTGCCGAAGACTATTTTTACTTACCCACCAGTTTTTTTGTCTGTTTCTTTTTCAGTTGCTCCTACGATTCAGGAAATTAAATCTGGCACTGTGGCCCCCGGACGCAGTGGATTGATAAGATGCGAAGGTGCAGGTGTGCCGCCTCCGGCCTTTGAATGGTACAAAGGAGAGAGGAAGTAAGGACTTTGTGATTATTACTGTGTTTCAAGTACTTTAAGCTAATGTGTTTGTGTTTCAGATACTTACTTTAAGCCATTTCTTTAACTGGCTTGAGCAATTTTCAGCAGCCTCCTCGCAGGCAGGCAAACTGAAGGGGCCCGCGTGGGAGGGATGAGTAGCTAACAGCATCCAGAAGAAATGTCCACTTTGGTTTATGTGATCTCAGAAGTGCCCACGAATTCCCGTCACTGATGCCTTTCATTTCTTCCCCTCCCTCATGAACCAGCATACTATTGCTTTGCTGGCGACCATGTTTACTTGGGAAGTAAACCAGCTCTTAAAGGACTTGGACACTGCTTCCATGAGAGCACTCCAAAAGCAATTGGGGCTGCTGTCTCTGCCTGCTTCCTTGATAAGGGAGGAATCCTGTCACCTGCCTCAATCCTGTCACCTGCCTTCCTCTCCCATGAGACATTTTAACATTTTGTTTTATAGGACACTGTGTTTTAGATATTCTCTCACTAAAGGGGCTGGAGAGGAGATAAAATACATGGTTAAAGGACCAACCAAGGGGATTTTAGGGGCAATCCCACTTCAGCTCTATGTGATTGTCCCCTCGAGAAGCCCCAGAAAGCCTTGGCAAGAGCTGTTGAACAAGGGAAGACAGGACTTGACTGCAGTCTCTTTACTTTCAACCAGTAAGCTCCTTCCTACCCCTTCAGGTTCTCTTATCAAGTCATCAAAGAAGAGTGGGCCCCCTGTGGGTTAACTGGAAGACGTAATGCAGAGGAAGGATGTTATCTATACTGTATACATCTTGCTTCAAAACTAGGGAAGGATGTGTTCAAGAAAATGTTAAATTGAACTATATGAAATTGCCTTATTTTTTTATCAAAAAAGCTAAATGTTGGCAATTCCATACTGTTCAACATAGATGTATGGGGTTTACTTACTTGTGCCATGGCTCATAACTAATTACAGCTAAACGTCTAAACAAAATACTGGTGAAATCACATAAGAACTTAGGTATTGCCACCAACGAGGAGAATGGATGTGACATAAGCAGGTACTTTGTTTCTTAAACTGTAATCAGAAGAGGATTTGTGGAAGATATTCTCTCTCTTCAACATCAGCCTTAACATAAAGCATGTTCCCATAACTGTCTCAGTTGTTCTGGATAACTGACTGGTTTTTACCTGAATTTTTTTGCAGCTATTTTATATGCAACCTCTTCTATAATTTGGGGTGTTCGATTTTTAATTCTTTTTACTAATTAATTAATGTTTTTACTAATTTTAAATCTACCTTTTTGTGGATCCATGGAGGCCCCCATGTTTTTATATAGTTAGAATTAAAGAAACTTGGTCTGTGGTCACCCTCATCGCACCTACAAGATTGTATACTTGCCAATATAACCTTTCTCAGATTCTGATAATCCAGACAGAGAAGCTTTAGGTTTGGGATTGTCTACATGGATGTCTACATGGACAAACATCTAGAAGAGTGGTTCTCAGTCCTTGAAAGTTATGAAACCCTTTGTTGAAATGCAATCTTATTTGGAAGCCCAATAAGAAATATCTGTGAAAGTAACACTTCTCTGGTAGATGTGGGGTGAATGGAGCCTCAATTCCATCTGCCCAGAACCCTCCTTTCCATTAGAACATCTACTGGGACTAGAACAAATCCTTGAAACAACAAGGGATTTGCTGCCCGCCCCCCCAATCCCTGGTTCTCCACAAAACACAATTTAAATAATGACTTAAGCTATTTTATATATCTTGAAAGTCACTTTTGAATCTGTATCATACCTTTCTTAAAAACTAACAGAATCATTCCAAGTAGTACAAGTGAGAGCTCCTTTGTTAAAGTTCGTTTTGTTTCCAATATTTTGTGAAGTGATGTCCTGGATTTTTTTTACTATCTCTCTCTCTCTTTCCCTTTCCTAAATTCAGCAACCATTGTCAAAACAGGCTACAATAATCCTCAGTCCACTTTCTTGGCCTCTAGCAAATATAGCAAAGGGCCGATTGGTATCCCTAGTCAGAGCGTCTATGATTTTTTTTTTCCTCCTGGGGAGATGAACTATAGCTTTTATTAGACTTCAGAGGAGTTTAGAACTACTGCTAAAAATGATAGATTGATTCTCCCCAATCCATGTCCCTCCCAACACACTCACACACCTAAGGAAAATCTAGGAGCTGTGAAAATCAAATGCACTTGTCAAAGACAAACATATTTTCATTTCAGAGTGAAGCATACATTTATCATTTGTTAGGGTTACGTTTGAGGAAATATCCAAATTCTCAAACACCATAGAATATATAAATTCCTCTCAAAATTATAGTAAAGCAAATCTGAGTATGTCCAAGGAGTAGGAGAGGGAAGGATTCTTGTTGTGAATGGTTGTTGGTATACTCACTTAGTGGATCTACCATAGAACCTTCAGGGCCCAGGCCATTCAAATGTTTATCTCATCAAAACGAAAAACTAGCTGTACAACAAGCACCTCCTGTTTGACATTCGGTGTTCTAAATCATTAACCAATATTAACCCGTTTTATTTTCACAACAAACCTATAAGATAGATACTATTATTATCCTCACCTTTTGCTTGGGGAAAACCAAACCACAGAGTATTTTTAAGTAGTTTGCAGAAGTTCATATAGTTGGTGGGATTTGAACCCAGGAATACTTGCAAATCTTTATACAGAGTCCGTGGATTTAACCTCTAAACTATGGCACCTGCTATAGATCATGGCACCTCAGAATCTAAAAAATAATAATTTGAAAACATCAATCTTAAATGCCAAGGGTAAAGGCATTGCGTGTCATTTATAAATTAACAAAATAAAAGACTGTACGTACAAACACTCACTTATAATTTCCCAATTTATTTAGTCAAAGACATTGAAATAATGGAGTCAAGATAAACACACAGAGAATTAACAGATACAGCACATTTCCAAGCTTTCTTGACCTCAAGATTGCTAAGGGGAGCATGAAGCTGTCAGAGACCCTGTCAGAGTAGAGCAGAGTTTTTACAAGATCTGGAGGAGTTTTATTTCCTAGAGATCTTTTATACTTGGGGCTTACAAAAATATTCAGACATAACTTACTTTCTCTACTTCTACTTAAGGGAATGTTTATAAAAACTCATCTCTCTTAAATCAAGAACTTCAAAGCCAGATTTTCATTCAAAAAAACACAAACAAATTAAAAAAGAGGCAGTCCCTGAACATCCCTAGTATTTTCTGTGCCTACAGTTCTTCTGTATCCTGTAAAATCTATTTCTGTGTACTGGGAATAATCTGCTTGAAAACCTTCTAAAAAAACCCTGCAAAATTAAGCACTATTTAAAGAAAAGAAAGAAACAAATACTTACTGAGGATAAATCACTTTCCAGGTCCTTTAAATTCTTTTATCTTATTTATTCTTCAGACCTCTGTGAGGTAAGATTTATTATCCTCAATTTACTGATGACAAAAGTGAGACACAAGAGACTTAACCTGTTCAAGAGCGCTCAACTTAAAAGATGCCATCAGGGCACATTTTAGATTGTCAACCTCTCAGCCCATATTCTTTCCCTTGCATACATTGCCAGTATTAGTTATCTATTGCTAAGTAACAACTTAACGCAAATCTTAGCAGCTTAAACCAATAAGCATTTAATTATCTCCAACAGTTGCTGTGGGTCAGGAATCCGGGAGCAGCTTAGCTGGATAGTTATGGTGCAGGGTCTCTCATCAGGTTGAAGTCAAGATGTCACCCTACCAGGCTTGACTAGGGCTGGAAGATCTGCTTCCAAGGCAGCTCGCTCATATGCCCAGCAAGTTAGTGCTAGTTATTGGCAGAAGGCCTCAGGTAACTACCATATGGGCCTCTTTATCGGGCTGCTTGACTATCTTCACGACATGGCAGTTGACTTGTCCCAGAATGAGTAATCCAAGAGAAAGCAAAGTAGAAGCTATTTATGACCTAGTCTCAGAAGTCATGCTCTGTCGTTTCTGCAATATCTTATTGGTTACACAGGATGACGCTATTCAGTGTGAGAGGGACAACACGGGGACATGAATGTCAAGAGGTGAGAATCAGCAGATGCCGTCTTCAAAGATGGCTCCCAGACTGTCTCCCTCATGGATGATGTAATTATTTTTTGTATTAGAAACATTAGCCATTTGACCTTTAGTTTACTGCGCTATTTAGATAAGCATCATGAGAATGACTAAGATTGCGTACTTGTTATTAAAATATTATTCCTTGAGATAAAATGATCATTTTTTTGACAGTGTAGTCTCTTTCAGCATACCTGGTCGGGACAGTCCTAACAGACTTAATTTTACTCCATATGCATTTAAATATTGGGAAAATCAGAGTTCAGAGTTGAATTATATAGAAAGCCAAAATTTTAAACTTTTTTTTTTTTTTTGTGAGGAAGATCAGCCCTGAGCTAACATCCATGCTAATCCTCCTCCTTTTTTTCCCTTTTTCTCCCCAAAGCCCCAGTAGATTGTTGTATGTCATAGTTGCACATCCTTCTAGTTGCTATATGTGGGACTCAGCCTCAGCATTGCCAGAGAAGCGGTGCATCGGTGCATGCCACGGATCCGAACCCGGGCTGCCAGCAGCGGAGCGTGCGCACTTAACCACTAAGCCATGGGGCCGGCCGACTTTTTTGTTGATAATAGAGAAGGTTGATAAGAAGAAATATACTCCTTATATGCAGTGAAAGGACACTTTCAGAACAGATTAATTACTATTAAGCAGATCATGGCCTTGATGACATGAAATTAATCTATGGCTTGAGAACAGTACATTCACTTAGGATTAAGACTGAAAACATAAATTACATTGTAATGGACTAACATTTAAATAGGTATTGCAAAAATATGGGATTTGTATCACTTTGGTGAAGATGGCATTACCATCTTGTCTTAGATCAGAATTTTGCTATTTGCTTGCTTGGTTGAATTCCCTCCTCTTATTTTAGATTGCCTCAAATCCAAGCCTGTGGCCTAGAA